ACCTCATCTTCCATTTTTTTACCTTCTCACATGTTTCCCCATGCGATTTCCTCTTCTTGTTCCAAAGAACTCACCATCAGAAATATCAACATTCACAGGCCTTATCTGTTTTTTCACCTTCTTTCCACAGGGTTTCAGCCCTTCCTAGCCCTTTCCCCAGCAAAGGGAGTCTGTGTCCTTGGCCTGCTGGTCTTTGGCCAGCTGGAGGCTGTTCCTCCAGCCTGACAGACACAGGCTCCTCCAGGCTCCATCACCACTTGCTAAGACTTGTCACAGTCTTAAACCATGAGTCAATCAGCAGGGCCAGCTTAGTGTATAGAAAATCAACTTTTGAGAATAAAATATTCATTTCCATTGATCCTTCTCCTTGCTCCCAGCTTGTAATGTCCTTCAGGATAGGAGAGGAGTATGCAGAGGGTGAGAAATGTGCATTTGGATAAAAATGAGAGTAGAATAGGACTCTCTGTCCTCTGTTGGACAAGTCTCCTGTGGTTTGCCATTGCCTTCGCCTTCACAGTGCTGCTGACAGTCCTGTGTGGCTCTCAAGAGCCTTGGGGGTGTGGTGATTGTGCAGGAGCAGAAGGAGAAGCCTTAAAGGGGTTACGTGAGAGAAGCCTAATCCATAATCCAGTGATGTCAATAGAAAGGCTGTCACTCAGCTGCAGACAGATTTCCAAGAAATCCATCATCATCCAGTCAAAGCATGCCAACAAACTGGGCTGAGGAGCTGGGAAATGCCTTCCCTCCCTTCTTGTGGGTGGTGGTTCCTTATAGCTACAGTCAGAGAGCAGAATTTGCTCATGCAAGATACCCACTTAGCCTTTTTCCACACGTGCCAGATCACAGGCTAACAAACAAAGAAATTTATTTCCAAAGTGGGTCTGACCTCCAAATTGTCCCCATAATTGTACTTTTTAGAAGACACATAGTCAGGGGAAAAAGAGATAATGTCAAAATGCAGAGCATATTAAAATTTGTTTTAAATTATTTACCTCTTCAGTAAGATTTGGATTACATTGTCCAGAAAAGTCCAGTGTCCTTCAGATACCAAAAGGTATCAAGTACCTGCCTGGACTGCAGCTCATGGGTAGATTGAAATTGGTTTGGCTACCCCCCTCTCTGAATTCTGTGCTGATGCAATGTTTAACAGCTGCTCAGGCAGAAATTGTGGTCATGGCTCTGCTGCTGGCTCTATCTGTATGGAGTAGCTTTAAGTAGCAACAGCATCAAAGATGAACCTCAAAATCTATTTCTCTTGTGATGAAGATATTTTAATTTTTGTTCCAAAGAATCTTAGCAACTTCTACTAAGAAACTGCTGCCAACACCTTCTCAATTTTATTTATATAGTCCACCATAGCTTTGTAAAAGAATCTCTGTTCTCCACCACTTTCTGGTTTGTTCAGCCTGGAGAAGAGGAAACTGAGGGAGACTTCACTGCAATCTACATCTTTCTCACAAGGAGAAGCAGAGGGGCAGGCACTGATCTCTCCTCTGTGTACCCAGTGACAGACTCAAGGGAATGGCCTGAAGTTGTCAGGGCAGGTTTAGGATGGATGTCAGTACAAAGCCCTTCACCCAGAGGGCAGCTGGCACTGGCATAGGCTCCCCAGGGAAATGGTCACAATATCAAGCCTGGCAGAGTTGAAAAACAATTTGGACAACTCTCTTGGGCACATGGTGTGACACTTCAGGATGTGCTGTGCAGGTACAGGAACTAAACTGCAATGATCCTTGTCCATCCTTTCCAACTCAGGATATTCCGTGGGGCTTTTAAAGTTACTTGCCATTATCCTCTCCAAACAGAGAATTTTCCCTTACCAGGGCCCAAAGAACTCTACTTCCTATGCATCTGGAATCTCCTTTCTTGCTCAGTGACATGGAGGGCTGAGGTGTTTACAGCTACCTGCCACGTGATTGTAATTTCAGTGGAAATTATTATAAGCTCAGCCTGGGATGCTACAAAGCAATTAATGCTGAAAAAGCAGTAGGTAGAGCTTGTCAATCAAGAAATTTAAAAGCAGTGCAAATATCATTATATTATCACAGCAGCATTCCTCATTCTGACCTGCAGAATAAAGAGAGAGAACTTTGAAGTACATTCAGGGGTAGACCACAGCAGAAAACCTGCGTTTTGCTTTGTAAGCACACTGAATCCCCTGTTGTGATAGACACAGGCTATTTCTGGACTAAAAAAATTGAAATTCACAGTGGTTAACACGTTTCCAGGTACATGACCCTGTTTCAGGTAGCAAGGAGCTTTGAATAACAGAAGTGCAGGGGATGAAGCGAATGCTTTAAATGCAACCTTATTGTCACGTCTTTGTGGTGACAGGTGTTTGGAGACAGCCTCACAGCAGTGTCCAGGAGCAAAGCCAGCTGTGACAGGGCACTGTGGCACCCAGCAGGCCCCTGCATGCCAGGCAATGTCTGTCTGTCTGTCTGTCCCAGCACGGCTGCGCTCAGGGTCCGACCTGCCTGCCCCTGTCTGTCCGACCCTGCTGCTGCCAGCTCTGCTCCCAAAATTGCGGGACAGCTGCTCCCAAAGCAGCGGGACAGCCGTGCTGCTGCTCGGTGTGCAGCCCCTGCTCTGCACTCCCTTTGCTCCAGCAGGTTTGGCACTGTCAGCACTACACAAAGGGACTGGCTCTTTGTCTGCTGTCCTTGTCACAGAGTCACTTAAGCCTTTAGTGAAGGTGTGTGACCAACAATCGCCGCCGGGTAAACGTGACAGGAGGGACTCAGAGCCAACCAAAGGTGCTGCAGGACAGAAAAGAAACAAGTGGTACTCTTTCTATCAAAGAAAGGTTGAGTGGTATTATTTCTATCAAAGGAAAGGTTGAGTGGCCTTCTGGAAATACCACAACAGTGATGAAATACATGAATAGGTCACGTTTTCTACACCTGGTAGCCCTCATAAGGTTTTTTTTAATGAAAGCCTTTAAAATTGAGAACATACTAAAAGTACTGCTCTTATCTCTCCCAGTATTTGTGTAGTTTGTAGTACATTCTTAGTGTTTCAATCTTCTAGAAAACAAGTGTATCTGATGCATTTTACATCTGCATTTTGATTGCAAGAGGGGTAAAGAAAGACGAATTCAGTGCAAACTGGGCCCCAAGTTCAGGTGAGAATAAGGAAGATGATTTTCAGTCACTAACCAAAACACCATGAGGAAAGGTAGCTGATCTAACAGGTACAGCTCTATGATCTGCAGCAAAGCTGCACAAATGTAAAACAGATTTATCTCATTGAAATAAATGAGAGTTCTGTTGATTAACTCCAGAGGAAAATCCAGTCTTAAAGAAAGAGGGAAGGAAGGGCCCAATAGCTTGGAGCTCTCCTAATTCCTGGCACTCTACAGAAGATAATCTTTGTGTTATCTGCAAAAGCAAAAGGGTGGGTTCTGCTCAAATCTGCTCATGAAGCAGAGCAGCATTTTGCAGTTTATCTACTTATCAAAGCAAATGAGTTCCCTTTGTTGAAAAACAGAACTATTTTTATGCCAATATATCACTCATGCTCGAAACAGTGTTTCCACTAGCAACCATAAAATCACTCTGTCATACAACTTACACTAAACTGTTACCTAAACCTACAGGAGACAGGAAGTTAAAGCACAATGAACTGCTCTGTTTGACTGATTTGTTATTAAAACTCCTATATATTGCTCAGATCTTGCCATGTTGGATCAAACACACCTTCAATTCTGTACCTTGCTTTGATCTCTGCAGACTACAAAGCCAGGTTTCCAGTCAGGACAGAGGGATGTAAAGTACTCTTCACCATTCATTCAGCTGTGTAAATGAGAATTCAGGATGTAGCACAGACCCAGAGCTTTTTTTGTTATTAAAATCACCTAAACCACCAGAAAAAAGTATTCTGCAATAAAACAGTAATAGTATCTGATGGAAGGGACCAATACAAAACGCTTTCAGAATTAAAACTCTGAGAGATCCCCAGCTCATCTTTCTCTATTCTACTACTGACCACACAATGTTATTAAAGGGGCACTAATGTTACAGATTGGAGCTTCTAATACTGTCATCCACTGCAGATATTCATACACAGAGTTATATAAAGAGATTGAAACTCTGACCCAAAGGCATATTCCACCTGTCGTCAGGCCCTCTGATGTATTTTTATTCATATATTGTAGTGAAGACCAGACTAAGTGCTGTGAAAAGGGGCAGGTGGGATGTGCATTCTCCATCCAGACTGAGGACTGATTCCTCTGGGAAAGCAGGAGTAACTCATTGCATCACAGGTGAGAATGCAGTTTAACAGACACCTGTACATTTCTGTTCAGGACTGAACCTTAGTTATGGCACCTACCAGAATGAATCTTGACCAAAGGTCCCCAAATTCCCACTCTGACTGCAGAGTTTTCTCTGTACTGCAGAACACTAGGACCAGTGTTTAAGTTTGATCATTGTGACAGGAGCTACTTAAAAATATACATTGTTCCAAAATTAGCAACCAAAAGAAGAAAGCTAAATTTACAGCTTGAAAACTTAAGCCTGTCTTTATCGAGATCATCCACAGCACTGGCAGAGCTCTGGGAAAGCTCATGCTTTCCACCCTGGAATAGCTGCATGTCCCACCTGTGGGCACAGAGAGCCTCTGTGAGCATGAACAGCGCTGTCCTCACATGGGTTTTAATGTATCAGCACTAGGAGATGCAGAATGTGTTCTAGCCTCAGTTACACTGCCATAACTCAGAAGTTGTCTGACCGACCTTCGTGGCACCTCCCTGGGGTTGGCAAACACTGAACTTCCACCCTGCAGGCACTTAGCAGGCCAGGTGTCTAATCAGAGAGATTTTAAATACGGTATAAACATAAAGCAGCATAAACCATGCTTTCCTCCTCGATTGCCTGTCCTTACATAACCAGTTACCCGGCGCTTATCCATCACCCATGCAGCCGTGCCCGAGCCCAGCCTGGCAGAGCTGCCGAGGGGCCCCGGGCCCTTCCCTTCCCTTCCCACCCGTCCCGCCTCACCTTTGGCACCAGCGCTCCCGCTGCTCCTGCGGACAGACGGACTCGGGGCGAGCGGAGAGGGTACCGGGAGGAGGACGTGGCTTGAAGTCAAGCCCTCTAAACTGGCACAGCAGGCTTAAACCCACACCGGGCTGTGGATTAGCCCTGGTGACGAGATACAACAGCTGCGCTTACGGCAGTGCCTTGGAGCGATTAGGGCTCGGTCCGCTCCCTCCGCACACTCACTCAGCCTCCCGCCAAGAGCCGGCACCAGTTTAAAAGTCCCTCCAAACCACGGAAACTTTGTGCCGTTTTCTACCCTGCAGCTGAGGCTGCCCTCGGAAGAAACGCAGGTGCTTGAGGGCACCGGGACCGGCTGCAGCTGCAGGCGGGGTTCGCTCCCGGGGCCGTCCCGGCGGAGGCGGCCGCACCCCGCGCCCTGCCGGGAGCCGCTCGGGCCGGGCGGTGCCCGCTCCCCGGCACCGGCACCGGGACACCCAGCCCGGGCTCTTCGCCGCAGAGACAGCGGTCCCCTCCGCCGGGCACCGCCTCCGCCCCGCCGGGCACCCTGCTGGCCGTGACCCCAGCTCCACCTCCTCCTCCTCCCGCTCCTCTTCCTCACCGCGCTGCCCGCTGCCGTCCCGCCCAGCCGGGGCAGCGCCTCTCGCCGCCGCCGCTGCCGAAGTTGAGCGGAGCCGCCGCTCCGCAGCCGCCGCCGCCGCGCCCCGCCCGCCTCGTTCCCATAGCGACCACGGGATGCCCGATGCTCGGTCCGGGACCGTGAGCTCCGCCCGGGCACCGGCAGCGGCAGCGGCACGGCGTCAGACCCCGCGGGGACTCACTGCTGTACACGGAATTTGCACCGACAAATAACGGCGCGGAAACTGGAACTGTTCATTCATTTCTCACCAAGTCCTTTGGGAAGAGAACAGAGCAAAGCAGTCTTCAGCCACAGAAGCCACGAGGGTTTGGAGGGATGAAGGATGAGGGGTCGGCACGGGAGTTGGAAGGGCATGGAGGAGAAGAGGAGGAAGGTTTTTACAAACACTGGCCCAGGTTGCCCCGTGAGGAGGTGGATGTCCCATCCATGGAAACATTCAAGCACAGTGCTCTGAGCAGCCTGACCTACCTGGAGATGTCCCTGCTCATTGCAGGGTGCTGACTAGATGGTCCCAGTCACACACACGGCCACAGTGTCCTCTGTGAGCCCACAGTTCCTCACCCAGCCTCTTCCCACAGTGCAAAAATGTGCAAAACCATCCCCAGTATCACTGGCCAAAGCCCCACCAAATCCCAGGAGAGCCAGGCTGTGTCAGAGGGCTGCAGAGCTACACCTTGGGTGGGGACAGCACAGGGACAGGTGACAGCACTCAATGACACCTCCAACCTGAGCATGTGTGCGAAGTCGAGCATGCCCCACTGAAAAGCTTGCACAAATGATGGCCCAAGTTCTTGGTGTTCATGCAGCACAGGCACAGGCAGAGCTGTTCCAGACCATGTATGTGTGTGCAGCACACACATAAACCAAAACAGCCCAGCTGAAAATATTACAGATTACAGGATTCCCAGTGCAGTCTAGATTAAAATGTATGAGCATGGGGGGTTTTAAAGTTTAGTTTATTATTAGATCAAAAATACAACAGGCATAACAAAGAGATGGGAAGCATTTTTCTGTGCTAATTATGCGTGGAGGATTACTTGTCTGTCCTGAGCCTCAATGTCAGCCCAGTTTGTGGAGGTTTACAGCATCCTGGGTATGCTCTGCTCTAAATGGGTTGTTGAGTTGAAGTGAAAAGTCATCTTACACAAATAAAGACCATTATATTCTCATACATTAAAACCTATTTCAAAAGTCATCAACTCTGACTAATGCAGAATAATACCCCCTTGAAAATGCTTAGTTTTCAGGTATATTTTCCAGGTTATCTTTTCAATGCAGTGAATTCCTGGAAGTTCTTGTCATGAATCAGAGACACTGATGACTGGGGAATATCTCTGGAAATGTTTCCTTGCAGATATGTATATAAGCCTCACAACTGAAAAATCATTCATCTCTCCTATACTTTATTTAGCAGCTGAAACCAAGGATTCTTTCACTGTTGTACTGACAGGATTTACCAGATCAGTCAGCATCAGATCATCAGTGGCTTGGTAGCAATGCTCTGGTACCATAGATGGAGGAAAGGTTTATCCAGTGGTACATTTCCCAGGACACTCCATGACAGTCAGCTTTCACCATATTGCAATTTGCAGTGCATTTAGCAGTGTGTGGTGCAGTGCACTGGGCCTGCTGTTTCTCACCATTTGTCAGATGCTGCCCTGGCTCACCTGAGCACTCTGCTAACACTGCAGGTATTGCCTGCAGAGCCTTCATATTCTAGTGCCAAAGGCATGGACCTCTGACAATGGCACTGAGGATGGACTTCAGTAATCACATTGCTGCTGTCTTCTGCATGGCTCCAACCACAAGCAAATAATCGCTCTCAATCACGGACAGAAAGCAAATTTAATATGGTAGGGTTGTATTTGGCCTGCTGGCTTTTGTCTGAGCTGCTGAAGAATGCTAGTTATATAATGGGGCTCACAGAGGGAACTCTGCTTTTTCACAGACTCACAATCTTCCTTAGAAAAGTGCCACTTTCAGAGTAATCAGAGTAATATACCTTGTTTGGTTTGTTTTTGGTTTTTGTTTTTGTTTTTAGTGCTTGTTTTCCCTCAGCAAAACAGTTTTTCATTTACTGGAAAGATCTTCATGCTATTTACCTCAAATCCAGTTAGCCCACCCACACAGAAGTGTATCGTGAGCCAAACAAGAGAAAGTTCATTCAGTCTCCAGCAGCAGTCCCCAGGCTCTGCAAGGCTGAGGCCCATTTAAGAATAGCTGCTGATGTTGCCATGTCTTTTGCAGCACAGATTTCTTTCTCTGCCCTCTCCCTGCCCCCTTTCTCCCTGCACATGTTGTGGCTGGGTTGTTGGGTTGCTGCCTGTGCCCAAAAGGGCTGAAAGGCTGGGGTTTGTTATCTGTGCTGTGGAGATGCACTGGCAGGGACCTCTGGCCAGGAGGGTGAGACAATCAGCTCAGAAAGGAGAGAAGGGAATGTCCTGGGCCAGTAAAGGACACATGCTTACATATGGAGCTCCAGAGCACAGCTGGACCATGGGCATGGTTATACAGCTCTTTCTCAGGAAAAGTCAGAACTATTCAGAGCAGGCTCTACTTTGTCCAGGACTCTGGGATAAACTTACCATAGAATTATTGCAGAAAGAGCTGTGACTGAAGTGAACAGCCTTTCTACTGTCACCCTCTACAAACTCCTGAGTGACAGGCCCCTTGTTGTATCTGTGTAGGCTCTGATGCTGGTTTTTTTTTTGCTCTCCTTCCCTTTTTTAGGAGAAGATGATAGCTATGGTTTATTACAACCTAGAATCCTGAAGCCATAGAAAAGAGAATCACAGGGTGTTTCAATGCCAGGAGTGGGAAAAGATTGTTTAAAATTAGTATTAACTAGAGCAAAGGAAGAAATTCAAGAACAGAAAATCAGGCATAAGCAAACCACTTACACCCTCATGGAGACCCCCCAGAGCACAATAACAAACACCCCTCCTGCCATGGCCTGTCCCTGCTCTCTGTGCACAGTGAGCCCAGAGCAGATGTAGAACCCTGATGGTTTTAACTCTGTGCAGAACCACAAAACCTGAGCTGCAGCTTTTAAACTGCATTTCTTGCCTTTCTGTTCACCACTTAAGAGTCATTTCAAAGTAGTGTAGTGCTGTGTTTAATTGCTGATTATCTTAACCAAGCAACTTAACTGAGTAAATGCAAATTCTGTTCTTTTAGCTCTCAGTGAAAATGATGAAGTGTCATGAAATACTCAGCTAAAAAACAGATGTAGTAAGGCAAGCTGAGCAGCAAAAAATACAACACAGATGGTCACGATAAATTAATTGAAGACACAAGGGAGAGAGATGCAAAAAAAATGCCATGGAGCCTGTAAGTAGACAGATGTCAAAAATATCTGTGATTATGCACTTAATTGCACTCTCTGTGATTGCTTGATTCCTGATGTACACTCTTAACAAACAATCATCTCCAAAGGGCATTGCCAAGGTTCTTGGCTTTTAAAATGACCACATCACAAATGCTGACACAGTGATACCACCTTTGCTGGGGTAATAATTCCTTAAACCTGAATTTTCATTATGTGATGGAAATTTCTCTAGTACTAGACATGTGACTACTTTCACAAAATATTTGAAGGGGTTTTGTCTCTGTCTTACCAAAATATGTGTTATTTTATCTTACACTGATACAAATCCAGCTGACAGCAATTGACAGATTTTCATTAGCCCCAAGATGCTTCAAATTATTTGTCCTCTTTCATTCAAATGTGAATTTTTCACTGCTCAAAATTCAGTACAACAGGAGTTTTGCCATTAAATTCAACAGGACCAAGACTTTGTCCATGCTCTGTTTGAGTTTGTTCCAGAGTCAACTGAAATCAGTGCAGGGGGAGGAGGGATTTAATCTGATTTGGAAAGGAATTTAAAAAGGGAGGGAGTGTAATGGTAATGCCATAATTTCTCTGAATACAAATATGGAGGGAATTAATCAATTGCCCCATTCAGTGTGTAACCTCATTTGTATCACTGAAACTTCATGGGATGGGTTGTGCCAGAAACACAAACTTTTACACACACATCCCCTTCAGGAGAGAGTGGTAGGAAGAAAAAAGGACAAGGACACCTCAGTAACTGCTTTGGGGATTTGAGAGTGAAGCACAAAACAGGAGTAAGGGTCTCTGGGGGCAAGAACTGAAAACTCAATGAGTCCCAGTGGGATCACACTGTTTGTGTAGAGGCACCCAGAGAGAGCCAACTCCTCCCACTCTGAGACAGACAGAGCTGTGTTCCTGCTTGGGTCTCACAGAAGCTTCTCTTAAACACTTAGGAAAAGATGCAGGGTACAAAATCTCCCTGCCATTACACCCTGAAACCTTAAAGCCTGCATTCCACAGCTGGGGGAAGTAGGACCAGCCCTTCCTTGTTGCCAACAACTGCTTGAGAACGAAAGTTTCTGAAATGGTGATGTTTCAGAGAGGGGCACCCAAATACCCTGTGGGCATTTGAATTAAGCCCATATTTTCTGAGATGCCATTTATATCCATGGACTCTCTTCAGAGTCACCCACTCA